CGCCAGCTCTTTCTTCTCTACTTCTCTTGTTTGTTCTCTTTTCTGGTTTGCATCTAATCTCAAACAGTTCCACACATCAAGTGGGCTGTTTTTCAACTATTCCATAGGCTAAAACTATAACATAACATTTCTCCTACTTTCTTCACTACGCACTAGAGAATAAGCCTGAGATAAGGTCACACTATCCCTAATGAGTGGTTGTTGTCTCACAATATCATACTCTGAATTCAGACCCACTAGGAATTCAAAATCCCTATTGGTCTCAACTTGTTTCCTATAGGTGTTTTGCATCCTTCTGGCTTTCCCACTCAATAGTTTCCAGGTGATCAATTTCATGTCATAAAGATTTTAGGGTGAACTGAGACTGGCTTCTCCCCTTGCTTGAGATTATTTACTTCACATTTCAGCAAATAGGCCCTAGCAACATTGAGTGGCTGAGAGTAGGTCTCCTTCATCACTTCCCAAATCTCCTTAGCTGTTTTTTCCCACAAGTAATTTCGGCTAATATGAGGCTGCATAGAGTTACAATGCCAAGTCATGACAAAATAGTTTTTCTTGAACCCCATTAGGCATATGAAGGGTCTTCCTTGGCTGGTTTCTTTACATCCCCATTCACATAACCTAACTTTCCTCTGCCCCCAATTGCCATCATAGCTGACTGAGCCCATTTCAAGTAATTAGAACCATCAAATTTAACAGTAGTAATCTGAAAACTGTTCTCTGCCATGTATCCAGCCCCCAAAACACCTTCCTCTTGAGTCTTAAACTCAGCTCCTGCCATTTCTATAAGAGGCTTATCAGGAGAAACCAGTTTTCAGCAAGAAAAGACCCCAAAAGAGAAACCAGTTCTCACCCAGAAAAGGTTTCGAAGCTGAAACCAGCCTAGAAATCACCTAGAAAACAGTCTGGAATTCTGAAACTGGTTTAGAGTTCACCCAAAAAATGATATCAGTGAGGTCTGATTGTAGGGTTAAGAGAAAACCTTAGAGAAATCTCTGAGAGAACAGAAAAACTCTCAGCCGCACCTTCTAAAAGGGTCACAGTCAGGTCTGATCACAGGGTTAAGAACAAACCCTAAAGAAAACTCTGAGAAAACAGAGAAAACCTCAGCCGCTTCTTCTAGATAGGTCTGATCTATCTATCATCGGTGTCGATCTCAAGAGAAAATAGAAACTTGCCCAGAAAACACTGGTCGCCACTTCCAATCTCAGTCTGAACCCTAATCTTGATCTTTCTTGTTCTTCTCTGATTCTTCCTGATTACCAGACACTCTCCAAGTGTTCTATAAACTTTTGGAAACTGCTAAACCCTTCCGGTAACCTCCAAGAATCAGCCGATGGACAGATCTTGCTAGACTTCCAGCCCTAGGAAGTTCTCATGTAGTCAGCTGGATTAGACACACATGAGAAACACTAGATTGGCTCTGATACCAAGTTTGCAAATCAGGACTGTAATCAGTCCAATTCTTGGTGTAAATTTGACTAGAAAAAAAACCAGAAAAGAAGAAGGGAGAGAGAAGAGAGAGAAGAAAGAAGATAGATGAGAGAAAGAGTGTGGGTTGACTTGAGTTGCCACCCCACTCAACTATTTATACTAACATTAAAATATAAGACTGCAATTACATTAATGCCCCTACTGCTTACATAAACAAATAACTAACAAAACTAACATTGCTAACAGCAACCTAACAGCAAACATAAAGAAGGAAATAACTAACAGCAGTAGTGGGGGCCACAATAAATAAAATAACTGACAGCAATATAACAAAAGTAATTATTGCTCTACATCTCTACAGAAAAAATCCACTTGATATATTTCATGTATTCTGTCTATAGCATTTACTAAAACCAAATTTTAATGAAATTTCACTGACATTTAAAACTATGATTATAGGTTAATCTCAAGGGAGACAATGAAATTTACCCATATATATGCTTTGTTGTTTCGCATCAATGTGGAAGAAAATTTTGTTTGAATCAGTGGCTATTTTCTGTGCTTCCCCTCACTATTCTCCCCCTACCCGACTCCCTTCTACTTCTCCTCTTCCTCTTAACTAATTTACAGGTTCACCAACAATAACTTCAGATCTACAACTCTTGTATAAATCAGTCTGCTACAAAATCCTCCATTCTTCAATTGCAAGTAAGTTCTTCCCCTTCCTGGATATAATTGTCATTAAAATTCTCAAACCCTAGGAGAATTCACAAGAAACCCTAATTTTATCCCTAACCCTAAGTTCCTAACCACTCCCTAATCAAATAGTCCCTTAGAGAACATCAAACCTAAAACTCCTTTTCAAAAAGCTCCTCTCAAATCTCAAGTTATCTCCAACTTTCACAACTACCATTTAAGATTCTGAATATGAAGGAACATTTGTCCTTTTTTTCTTTCTCTAGAAACTTTCCCTTTGGATCCTTAACCTGCATAATCCATCCTAGACCCTTGGACCTATTCCCATCTTTCTGGCACCAAAGACTAGCATGACACCCTACCTTTACCATGTTCTCTTCATTTTTTTCCTTTCTTTTTAACAATAACCATCCATTTTCAGAAACTGCCAAGTCTTAGTAGGAAGGTCAGATATTCTATCCTATATAAACAATGCTGCACACAGCACACTGTTATGCCAACAACCATGTAAGCAAGATGTTAACTCACCATACAAAAAGACCTTCACGTCCTTAAACTGTTTTTTATAGTGAGGAAAAAATTATTAAAATAAAAAAGAGAATTTACAGGTAGCATAGAGATTTGCACTCAGAAAAAACCAGGCACACACAAGTGTCACTCAAAGAGACCATATAAAATTGGGTGCCTATACAGATTCTTCAAGCAGATCCAAGACAACCTAGAATTTATTCCCAAAAGAGGCTCTGTTAATGTCCTTAAACTCTTAGTGGACCATTATCCAATCCAACAAAAGGTATCCAATGTCAGAATAAATAGTTCTCCGATCTCTATACTTCCCTTCAAAGATATGGCAATTCCTTTCCCTCCATAGGCTCTAAAAGATTGCAAAAAGGGATACAATACCAAAAGATTTTTAGTTTCTACTCCCATTAAATTGGAGCTACATGAAAAACGAACCCATTCAGGTAAAACAGATGGAATTATGGTCTTCTAAACAGAGACAAGTAAGCCCATATAATGAAAACCACTCTAAAGAGAAAAAGATGACAAACATCCTCTTCTACCAAAAAAAATTCCTCCTTAGTTGTCACAGCTCTTACACATTACACATATATTGGCCAACTAAAACCCATGGTTCTTCAGAACTCAGATGGTTAATGATCAATATGCTTTCCAGTGGCACCAACCATACAAATACTTCACCCAAGGTGGAACCTGATTGTCCCATGGCTTCCTGACATTCAAATTCTCCAACTGGCCTCTGGTCAGTGCCTTGTAAAATGATCTCACCTATGCTTATATAACCTTCAAATTTGTCATAATAAATATTAAAACCTTCTCTCACTTAACCTTCATTTACAACCATTTAACCACCTTAAACCAGAGGGCTTAGGAAAATCCTGGTTTCTTCCAACATCAATAATTCCGTTTTACATAATAATTAGAAAATTTGTTCACCCAACAAAATTTTTGGTGTAAAGATGAGGGAGAAAATACTTTGACTTCATAAAAAACATCAGGGAACAATTGTATTTTTTCGTGAAAATGAAAATGGAATATAACAGACTGATACTATCACGAAAGATGAGAAATATTAGATGAAAGCATTATACGAAATTGACTGTGGCATTATCTTAACTTGCTCTGAGTGGAAAGGAAAGTTTTTGCGACATAAACCAAATTGCTTTGGCCACCCCCAAAAAGGGGAAGATTGTCCTATAAGTCTATAAGCTTCGCAAAAAGAGATAAGGGTTTTGTTAACATTCATGAAGATTACTGAATATGGTAACTTTCACCATACATTTATGTCCAACCAAATTAATTAATTATGACTCAATGATTTCTGCATATGTGGTAAGTTAAAGTTTGTAAGAGGCAAATTATGTCAAAAAAGTCTATAAGCTTCTCAAAGATAGATAAGGATTTTCTTAACATTCATGAAGTTAGCTGACTATGGTAGCTTTCACCAATACATTTATGTCCAACCAAATTAATTAATTATGACTCAATGATTTCTGCATATGTGGTAAGTTATAGTATGTAAGAGGCAAATTATGTCAAAAAGGTCTATAAGCTTCTCAAAGATAGATAAGGATTTTCTTAACATTCATGAAGTTAACTGAATATGGTAACTTTCACCATACATTTATGTCCAACCAAATTAATTAATTATGACTCGATGATTTCTCATATGTGGTAAATTATAGTTTGTAAGAGGCCAATTATGTCAAAAAGATCATTTGTTAGTTCTGTAATTACCTTATATACAGAGGGTGGATTTAATTATTATGTTGGGTAAAAAGTCTAGTGAAGGATTAGTATATACACTACACATGGTGCATGTTAAAAACTCCTACTCATAATTCATAATATGCTTCCAAACAACATTTACAATCTAAATTGATAATAAGTGAAGTACTGACTCTGTAACGATGATAATGATCAACTGCAATGTCTCCATTGCTTCCATCTAAGATCTTGCCTGATACAATAAGAAAGAATAAAAAACAATGGGGTAAGTTTTGTGGAAAGTACAGAACACAATTTTACCAAACCAAGAAAGAAATAATACTTATGCAAAAATCTCAAAGGACGTAAGTAAGAATACCTTCAGTATGTGAAAAAATATCCCAAATACTGTCACCCCTGCCACCCTCGTTATTGGCTCCTTCAATCTATAAAGGGACAATGATAATGATTATATTCAAAAATACTGTGATCATTTTGTACTACTGGCTAACTTCAAAAATCTCCATTCCAAATTTTACATAATGTTTTCTATGAATTATTTAGAATTGACATCATGAGAACCATGGAGAAATCTCGACAACTGGGTTGAATTTCAATTTCCCATATCACAACTAAATCTAATTTTTCCTGCAGTCAGGGCCCATTACCAACATGTATGTAACAAAATGTTTCCAACCA